GAGATGCAGCTTCTTCTCATTTGGAGGTTTCTTAACTGCTACCTTCGTCTGCTGCTCTCAGTACAATCCTGAGAACTGTTCTTTTAATTTTAACAATTGCTAGTGCAACAAGTCTGTCTTCCTAGAAGCCATGGGTCCTGGTCAGAGCATTTGTTTATTAGAGCCACCTTTGCATACTGAATTTTATTCATTTATTTTACTAAGATTTTTTTTTTAAAGACTTTTCAGGCTTCTGTAATAAGCGTGACCTGGTCTTTTTTTCAGCTTTGTGTTCAGAAGTTAAGAATATTAATAGAAGATTCTGACCAGAACTGTAAGTATGTTGCTTGTCTTTGTGGAAACTTGTAGTGAACGACCACTGGAGAGAAATTGCAGCAGAAAAAAAGCAGTCCTAGAGCAATGGGCTATTTCTGCAAGCAGCTTGTTCAGAATACTAGTGCCTGGTATGTTGTAAACAATTCCTGGAAATAATTTTGGGTAGTGAACACTTGCAAGGAGTCTTTTTAAAAGAGAGGAATTGCTGCTGTTTGTGGTCTTGTAAATCCAAACCATGACTGTTTCCATGCTCTGGGGTTTCCCTTTTTAAAAACTTTCTGCTTGGAAAGTAGTGAGGGATGTTTTGTAGTGTAAGTGTAATAGTAGCATGCAGGAAGGGAGGTTCCTTGAGAAGAAGATCTCGGGATCAATAATTTCCATCGTGGCAAAACAAGACTGGTAAAGATACCTATGCAGTTATGTCCCTCTATGGGACAGTGCAGAATCAAGGAATGCCACTTGTGATAGGGCATTTCTTTCTCTCCTCATCAGAGGATTTTATTGCAATATATTAAAATGGAGGGTTAAGTAGAAGCACTCATTAAGATTTCGTGTTCAACACAAAACAGTATTTCTATATTTGGAAAGAAGTTTTATTCTGTGTCTTTCACAGTGAAGTACCTGGGGTTGTTAGCTATGTCCAAAATCCTGAAAACGCATCCCAAGTCCGTGCAGTCTCACAAGGACCTCATTCTGCAATGTCTGGATGACAAAGACGAGTCTATCCGCCTCAGGGCTTTAGACCTCCTCTATGGCATGGTAGGTGTCCACGGGCATTTCCCTTCCCCTCCAGTCCCTGTGACTTTCTGGCCAAGAGGCCAATGCTTAAGAAATCCTCAGCTCTTCCCCTCTCCCCTGCAGTCTTGTGGTTGTGATCCATAAAGTCTCTTTCACTTAGTGAGGGGAGGGAGCTTGGAGAAGCCGATCCCACAGGAAGAGGTAACGTAGGTAACGTCTCAAAGCTTCCCATTTTAGAAGAGGAAGTAAAGAATACAGAGGCTTTTTTTTTTCCCACCCCTCTCACAAGTTGACAACTTCACTCAAATTTGATTAGGGCAGCAGCTTTAATGTTGCTGCAAAAATAATTGGAGTTGGTTGTTAAATAGTTGGTTGTTAGATGTAAATGAATCCTCCAGTTGCTTCGGTTTACTAGCTTAAGTAATGCTTACTTTTAAACTTTTACTTAAAACTCATTTCCTCCTGGATTTCTGCATTTTAACCATTAAATTTGATCCTTCTGATCAGTCTTCCATTTGTTGGAGATTTTTAAAACTTGACTGGACCAGGGCGTGAGCAATTAGGTCCTTCTTTGAGCAAGTGGTTGGACTTGGGCAATGTTCAGAGGTTCCTCCCAGTTCAAACCTCTTTGGCTCCTAGCTGCTAAAAGAAAAGCCAAGTCTAACTCCACCTAGGGCTGAGCAAACCTAGCTCCCCGTTGCACCTGTGCTCCTTAGATAGGAGTGAAGATCTGCTTGCAAAAGGTTTTACCATCTCTTGTGTTCTGATTTTAAGACATAATGTAGGTCCATCAAAGAGTTAGCGGCTGCTTTAGTGCAATTGGAAGGACTTTGCCCAGCCAATGGCTTACTTTTTTGTTCAATTTCTTAACCTCTGACAGGTATCGAAGAAGAACTTGATGGAGATAGTGAAGAAACTGATGATTCACGTGGATAAAGCTGAAGGGACAACGTATCGGGACGAGCTGCTGACCAAAATCATAGACATTTGTAGTCAGTCCAACTACCAATACATCACAAACTTTGAATGGTCAGTGGTTTTACGCACCGGCTTGTACTCAGCAAAGGTCATGAGTGATTGTCTGCTGATGAAACTGCCTCTTCCTGTAGGTACATCAGCATCCTGGTGGAGCTGACGCGCCTGGAGGGCACGCGGCACGGGCATCTCATAGCAGCGCAGATGCTGGACGTCGCCATCCGCGTCAAAGCCATCCGCAGGTTTGCAGTCTCTCAGATGGCCATGCTGCTGGACAACGCTCACCTCATAGCCAGCAACGCGCAGAGAAACGGGATCTGCGAGGTGCTCTATGCTGCTGCGTGGATATGCGGCGAGTTTTCGGAGTACGTTTTGCACGAAAAAGAAGCTGGGCACCCTTTCAGTGGCTTGTTCTCAAGGGGAGATTCGGGTCACTGTTGTTCTGGGTTTTAGGTGTTGTCTACTTCATTGTCTTTCTGTTATTAAGCCAAAATTCCGAGCTCACTGGTGTGAGTGGTGGGTGGCAGCATGGCAGGGACGTGGCTGCATTGCTGCCACCTCCACATTGCCCTTGGAGCTGGAACCCAAAACTGGCATTGAATGCTCCGGGAGAGGGGGAACGCTGCACTCCCAAGCACAGAGACTGGCGTGCCCTCATAGGCACACACCCTTTTTGGCTTGTTTGAGGGTTTGGGGGTTGGTTTTGTGCTTTTCTGTGTTCTGTTTGTGGGTGGTTTCATTGTTTTTGTTTTTTTCCTGGTAGGCTAAAGCTGTAAATTCTGTATTTTGTTATTACTGCAGTCTGGAAGGGAAAAACATGCAGATAATAAATGTTTGCATATTTGTAGTCTGCCTTATCTGTCCAGAGCACATTGTATTGCAACCAAGGCTTTTACAAATTCTCCTGTTGGGTGAAATGTTGAGCTTTGTCCATTGCTATCTCTCATTTGTCCCCCTGTCTTTTTTTTTTTAGACACCTGGAGGAAGCAAACCAAACTTTAGAAGCCATGCTGAGGCCTAAAGTCACAACCCTGCCGGGCCACATCCAGGCCGTCTATGTGCAGAACATGGTGAAGCTCTACGCGTCCATCCTGCAGCAGAAGGAGCAATCCGGGGAGAAGGAAGCAGCCCAGGAAATCACCCAGCTGATGATTGAGCGTCTGCCTCAGTTTGTGCAGAGCGCAGATCTAGAGGTGCAGGAGAGGGTAAGGGAGCATAATTACCATGGGGTTCGTTATACAGACGCCAATATAAATGATGGCTTCTTTTATATATTTTTTTTCTATGAACATGTACGCGTGCTTTTAAAAGCAGTGCCATCACTGGAGCTTTGCTGCTTTTCTGCACTTTGCGTAAGTCGGGGCAACGGACACCAGAGAATTAAAGAAGTGGGAAGAGTGGTGACATTTTATGGCAGAGCCTGGGTCTAATTCCGGCTCAGTGCCCTCTCTGAAGACTGCTCATGAGAGCTTCCCTTGGAAAGATTTGGTTTGTGGTTATGCAAGCACGAATGTCACTTAGCGTTCATTTCTGTGCTTTCAAAAGCATGAAATATCTGACAGATTTGAAGTCTGCCTTCCAAGGTGGCCATTCAGAATGATATCAATTGACCACAGTGATTTGGTGATGTGCTACTAAGTTAATTAAAAAGAGCTGCTTTTAAATATTGATGCCTGAAATGGAATCCCATGGCAGTCGTGTTCTGAAACAAGCTGCCGTTACGTACATCAGAAATAATCCTTGGCTGGAAGGTGAACAAGTTGAAGACCATTATCTGTAGTGTCTGGAAAAACAGAACATAATTCTGAAAGTGTGACTGTCCCTTGCTTAATTTGTCAGTCTAATTCAGTTTATATTGGTTTTGTGTACGGTATAGATTAAAAATTGCAAATGGTTACTTTATAGTAAAACATGATAAACTCAGCAGCAGATTCTGATTTTCATCCAGTGATTAAAAAAGGTGACTATGAAGAGTGGGACTCGGCCTCCTCAGCCCAGCCCCATTACTCATTCCCTCATTGAAAACCTCCATTTTTACTTGGAATATTTCTTTTATTTTAAGAAAATCCATTTTGGAAAATCCAGTCTAGTGCACACCTGGTTCTGTTTGTAAGGCTAAATAACAGTGTGTGCTACAGGGGGCTCAGACACCTGGATTTTGAGAGGTATATTCAAAGCAATACCAAAATGGTTGCAACTAGAGGAGGGGATCTCGGATCTGTAATACTTGCTCTGCATACCTAGTTTATGGCGCTTCCCTTAATTCCCTCAGTGCAGGGGTCAAACTTGTTTTGGTGCCTTCTGTTGCAATTGGGTTTTGGTCCCGTTGTTGATACTAACTTTGAAATTCTCCATTTGCTTTTAGGCTTCTTGCATCTTACAGCTAATAAAATACATTCAAAAGCTCCAAATAAAAGAAGTACCTGTAGCTGAGGAAGTGATAGCCCTGTTTGCTGGTGAGCTCAACCCTGTAGCCCCTAAAGCGCAGAAAAAAGTGCCAGTTCCCGAGGGGTAAGTCTCCTTCTCTCTCCCAAAACCTCATGTAAACTGTGTGACCTCTTAAACTGAGCTTAAACGCAGAGCTTCCGAGTAACGTTCTGTGTTGGTGTTTACTGCCATTCTCGCCAGCTTGGACCTCGACGCCTGGATCAACGAACCTCCGTCGGACAGCGAGTCTGAGGACGAAAAGCCCAAAACGATTTTCCATGACGAGGAGCAAAGGCATTCCCGGCAAAAGCAGCCCGAAATCGATGAAGAGGAGCTGGCCAGAGTGAGGGAACTTCAGAACGCTTTTTTTTCCATGCGTACTTCAGCACTGAAGATCAGGAAGCCTCACTTATCTATTTTGTTCAAATGGAAACCATTAGCCCTTGCTAGTACTGAGCCATTTTAAAAACCTGATGTGTTAATCATTTATCCAGATACCCACCTACCTAGATACCCACCCACCTAGATATATTATTTTTGGTGCTGTAAAGTTGAAAAATTGATGACCACTTAGTGATTCTTTTTTTTTTTTTGGTTGATGGGAGGGTATGGGTTTATTTTGTGGGAGTTCACTGCTTCTTTCCTGCCCAATTTATGCCTTGTGATTCATTTTGAAGGGCAGGCTGCTCAGGGCAGCGCTTTGCAGTTAATATTTTGTTATGTGTCTGCTCTGCTCAGCTGCCTTTTATTGCCTGTCTCCCTGTGAAAGGCCTCTGCAGCAGCACGAGAAGCAGCAGCTGAAAGCTGGGTAACTTTGATCACAGACCACAGCACATTCTGTTAATTCCTGGGTGATGGGACTGTGGCCAGCAGCGATAGCACCTTTCCTGCTGCTGACTTTGTTCTGACTGTTGTGATGGAGACATTTATTTCTTTGCAAGAATCCTTCCATCTTCCTCTCCGCTGCAAAAATGAGGATAGAAACAAACGAACTGCCTTCCAAATCTGCTGTCCAGGGAGTTCCTAGCTCTAATCTAGACTCAGGACATCCTTTCTTCACCTTCTGAAGAATATTTTAGTAGTAATTGTGCTTATGTTCCAGCATGTCTCCTAACTATCAAGCTCAACAGCTGGTTTTGATCATTCGTTTTGCTGCAGTCTTTGCAAGTAGTTTTGCAGTGTTGCAGATACTCAGGGAGCTCACACTTGCCCTCCAGTGCCTTTATCCATCTTTGCCTGTGAACAAACATAACTGCACTTCTTTTCCTTTCAGCGTCGCGAAGCCCGGAAACAAGAACAGGCCAACAACCCGTTTTATATTAAAAGCTCCCCTTCCCCACAGAAGGTGAGTCTGGGTGAAAACCTGCTGCTCTCCTCTCCTGCGAAGGCTCTCTAAATGTGGGAGCTGCACCTTCTCACGGGGAAAGGTCTGGTGGCTTCTACTGCACTTCTCATTGCCCCGTACCCCAGCAGTTGGAGTGGTGACCTACAGCTACGAAGCCTTGTCTTTGCTAAGAAATCCTCAAGGGACCTTCTGTCCTAAGGTCGTCCAGCTTCCAGTGCATCTCCAGAGGCCTTCCAGCTTAGAGCTAAATGCTCCCGAGCGCTGTCTTTTGAAGGGGCAGGTTATTACCAGTAGAACACAAAATGGAAGGTTTTCAGGGTTGTAACAAACCTCTCTCGAGGTAGAGCACTACAGCCGGAAGCCAAGTCCTGCAGAATAGTTACCAGTCAGCTCCAAAATAATTGTGCCCTGCTACCAGATGGGATTTAGGACTGAACGGTTTGAAATGTTTTTGTTTACATAGATATGTGTTTGCTGATACTCAGAACGTAACCTATTTTCATTTGTGCAGCGATACCAAGACACTCCAGGCGTGGAACATATACCTGTGGTCCAGATAGATCTTTCTGTCCCCTTAAAAGTTCCAGGTAAGTGCAGTGAATCTTTTCAGGGTGTTAGAGAAATTCAGTTAACGCTAACAGTTCCTTTTTAGTTTCTTGAGGCAGGGAACCTGATTCCTGGAGATTCTTAAATATCTCTGCTCAGCTCATGTGCGTGTGCGAATGCAAGTCAGTCTGAGCGAGAACCAGTGTTTTCCCAGATGTGCTTTGCAGTCTGGGTGTCTCCACACAGTATTTAAAGTAACTCTCTGACTCAACACGTTGTACAGCCAGGTCTGTAACACATGAACTAATGACTGCCCTGGGTAGGAAACAGTCACATTTGGAATGTTTTAGTGGGCTGTCTTGGAGCTGATGGTTATTTAAAGTAACGATTTTTAGCCCGATTTTTAATCCGCTTAGTGTGGATGAGAATCAGAGAGCAGGATAGAGCTTTGTCCTATTTTTGAAGAGAAATGGAATCTAGTCATAAAGCTGCTGCAAGAAGGAAACGTGAGCTGATGTGGAGTGGTCGAGAAGTGTTGACCCTTGTGATTCTGAAAAACGAGAATCCAGGTTTGCTTCCAACGCAGTGTTGCCGTGATCAGTGTGGGTTTGTGCTCTAGCCTGAAGGCAGCTTGGCTTCCCCTGCAGGAATGCCTATGTCCGACCAGTATGTGAAACTGGAAGAGGAGCGAAGGCACAAACAGAAGCTGGAGAAAGACAAGAAGAAGAAAAAACAGAAAAAGGAGAAGAGAGGTAAACATCACCGCCATAACTCCCTGCACACAGAGAGCGAGGAGGACATTGCCCCAGCTCATCATGTTGATATCATCACAGAAGAGATGCCGGAGGTTAGTTGCCTGTGTGTGGTGCTCTGAGCTGCAGGGCTCTCCTCGAGCTTTTCTGGAGAGATTCCTGCCTCCCTTTCTGTCACCATCTTCTTCCCCAGCAAATTTTCAGCCCATCTGGAGTCTTGCAGTCCAAGAACTCTGATTTCTTGCAGAGCACTTGAAGAAACAATTGACTGAAATGGTCCTCCTTTGTAGGAGAAGAAATGGTAGTGTTTTTTTATGTACAAAAAGATGAAAAATGCTACCGAAGCAAATTGAAAAGCAATATGCATCTCTGCTGTAAAAACAACTGTCCAAATAGCCACTTCATTTCTAATGCTTTGCTGCCTCACTCTGACATTAACTTACTGTCTAGTCAGCAGCTTTGCAGCTGATTATAATTAACTGCACATGCTAATGATGTGATCTGTTGTTCCTAAAGCTTCCTCTAATCAAAACCAAACAGCAGCAATTCAAATTCTTCAGTTTACAAAGAATGCTTTTCTTTTCCAGATTCGTCTCATAAGCAGATGCTGCATTCAGCTGCCCTGTTCATACAGCTCCTTTTGCCTAGCTGCAAGCTGGCTTGTTTCGTGCTTAACCATCTAACGGGGCAGGTTTAGGGAGATTCAAGTTCCAGGATTCAAAGTTCAGTTCAGTTGCCTCTTGTTTACTGCAGGTCTCTTTCTGTCTTGCAGAATGCATTGCCCAGTGATGAGGATGATAAAGATCCGAATGATCCCTATAAGGCACTTGATATAGATCTGGATAAGTAAGTGACAGTTTCTTCTACGAATTTACTTGGAATCACTGAATGCTTAAGGTTGGAAGGGACCTCCAGAGGTCATCTCATCCACACGCAGGGTAGCTTTATTGTTAACCTGAATGTGTGAGAGCTAGGCTGGGGCAAAGGAGCCAAAGGTAAGAAGATTCTCTCCATGCTATAGAGCATGGAGAGGTTTTTTGCACAAAAAAACGTAGCTCATCATCCATTTTGGGTTCCCATCATGTACTTCTGGTTCCTATGGCAGCATAGAGGCTAAAACCTACACTGCTAAAGTGATGTAAGTTCTGGGGGAGAGGTGGGAACTGCACAAATGACTGGGGTCTGAAAGAACAGAGGTTGTAAGGTGAGCATTTGAGTGTGTTAATATCTTTTTTTGGGTTCTTACAAGACTTGAAAGACCATCTACAGCCAGCACTTACACGTTCTCTCTCTGTGTGGTGCTTCAACAACTTTAAAGCTTGATTCACACTCTGCATTTCTGATAGGAGTCTGTACAAGTTTGGCATCACAGTTCCTTTAAAAAAAATAGTGTGTGTGTAAGAGCAAATTTGGAAGATGCCCTTCACTGCCCACCCTGAACTGAGCACGTTCCTCTCTGAGTCCGCAGTGATATGTAAAAGAAATGAATATACACGAGTAGAGCTGGTATTTGCACGAGAAGTCTAAACAGCACAGCAAACACTAAGCAGGTTCTCGGGGTGCTCCAGGAGGCGTCTTTAGGCTTGTGTATCGTTTCCATCCATTCCTGTCCCGTTCCACGTGAGTCGCTGTGCCCTCCTGTCACGTTTCTCACGTCTGTCCTCTCTCTCTCTCTCTCTCTCTGTGCTTGCACTGCTATGTCTGTGTCACGCTCACTTGCAGTCTGGTTTCAGGGAAGCCTTCCAGGTAAGAACGTTTCACCAAGCGGTCGCCCTCCTTTGTGAGCTTGGTTTCACTGGGCAGCATAAGTACTAGGAGGGATACGGTGCTATTGAAGTCCCTGACCCCCATGTTTGTGTGAGACGACCTCATTGTTGACTCTCTGCCGCTATTCCTGTGAAATAGTCTTTTTTGTGCAAGAGTTTTAAAATGAGATCTGCTTGCCCTTCAAACAGAGGGGAACTTGCTGGCCTCTGTAGGATTGGTTTCAAAGTAAAAATGGATCAAGTCTGGTGCTGCTTACAATATAAGCAAAAAAATGAGGAGAGTAAGACCAAGAGAAGTCTTCCCAAACTGTTGTTTGCTGCTCCGATGTGAAAATGTTAGCAGAAGTTTTAGAAAGAGGCAGTCAGTGAGCTTCTTCCTCACTGGTTTCTGGACAGTCTATGGCAAGAATTGGGAGGGGAAAAGAAATCACAGAAATTCCTAAGGAAAGGATTTGGGGCACATGGTAAATCTGAACTACTAGCCGTACTTTTGGAAACAATTGTTTGAAATAAAATGCAACTGTGTCCTGCAGTTCAGCACAGTCCAAACTGCGGGAGAGAGCGTCCTACTTGCACCCCAGGACTAACGGCATCTCTGGTTTTAAGACCCTTAGCAGACAGCGAGAAGCTCCCGGTGCAGAGACACAGAAATGCAGAGAACTTGAAGTCACCAGACTCAGAAGCTCCCCTTGCAGAGAAGAAGAGCAAGAAGCCCAAAAAGAAGGAAAAGAAACACAAAGAAAAAGAGAGAGAGAAAGGAAAGAAAAAAGAGAAAGAGAAAAAGGCAGTAGAGGAGGAAGAGGAAAAAAAGGTGATTTTCAAACATATTTGAAAACTGTTTGGGTACTGTATTAAAAAAAAAAAAAGCTGTTACAGACTGTATATATTGCTGAGTGTTTTGTTCCTCAGCTGTCACATGGGACTGTTCCTAAACAAACAGCTGAATGCTTTTGATTTTCTTTGCTTTAAACCACTTCTACTGTAACTGCATGTATTTAAAGATATCTGTGACTAAAAATAGCACTCAGCCTTATCAGCAGACTTCAGCTTACAGCAGCCTGCGCTGATGATCATCCGACTCTAATTTCAAAGCTGAGTTCATTGATATTTTGTCAGTTTTAAAAGTAAGAAACTCTCTAGTTACTGAAATATGTGGGACTCATCTTCATTGCATATCCCATATGTTTCATAATTTTTTTGCTTAAAACTTGGCATTGATTGACAGTTACTCTGAAGACTCAACTCACCTTCTTTTTGTAAACCAGTCTGCAGAAATGCAAGTTTTCTTTTCTCTTGGGTTCAGGGGGAAGACTTGGATTTCTGGCTTTCTACTGCTCCACCACCTGCCTCCACCTCCCAGCCACAGGTAGGCCAATTACCATGGCACAAGAAGCTTCTTCTGGTGTTCGTGTTAGCTGTGATACGAGCACCGTGTCACCATGCAGGAGGAAAGGGAAAGACTTCATCTCCTCAACTTAGTGCCGTGAAATGGTCAAATTTCATGTCTCTGGCCAGCAGATGCTGACTGAATGTTTCAAGCTTGCTCCACTAGGCGGAGCAGTGGACAGAAACACAGATGCAGCTGCTGATGAAATGATGAAATTTGAATTAGTATCAGCTAAGGCTTCGTTTTCTAGCTTGATCTAGGCACTAACAGTATTAATAGATCTGAGATCTATTTAGACCAAGAGAAAAACCCCATGAGTTTTGATGGGAGATTTTTGACAGAGAGAAGGAATATAAAGATTCAAATTCCTTCACGGAGATATGTGTCTTGTCCAGTCTGTCATATTTGCCAAGTGTCAGAGATCTCTAATGAAAGGCTTTGTATCATTTTAGTCTGATGTAATCCTTGAGAGAGCAGGAGGGTTTTTACGGAGGGGGGTGGCAGGGAGCATCTTTGAGATTGCTTTTTGGCTGGAGTTCAGCCTTTTAACTGTGGCTGGTAAATGTGTAACCCGCTGATGGTCTGTGCAGAGCGAGCCTGAAGTGGGTGCTGCTGTTGTGGGCGAACCCGAAGGAGTGAAAAAGGACGAGAGGGCAGAACAAGAGGAAGAGGAGGAGGAAGAGGATGAAGGAAAGGTAAGTGGCAGAAGTGAACACCTCTAGCTGCGTGTTCCTCCTGAATGAGCACACAGGGGTTCCCAAGTGCACCCTGTTCAGTGCAGTGCCCATCTGCAAGGGGGCAGCAGTGGCTGGGAAGCAGGGCGCCGGGTGTGCTGGGACTCAACAGAGGCAATAATCACAGAGGGATTATTGGAGTGTGAGGAATGAGGCCTCTGTTTCAGCCTTGTGCAGTAGCAGAGAACTGTGCTCGGTCTTCCAGGAAGTGAGTTGGTGGGTGTAGAGAGACACACAGGGGTGAGGTGTTGGGAGAGGGCTCATGAGGTGATGTCTGGCAAGGTAGGGGCGTCTTCTAAGGACTTGTTGTAGTTTTACATTTTTTTTTTCTGTAGAAGTCCTCCAAACATAAGAAGAAAAAACACAAGAAAGAGAAAGAAGAGAAGTCCAAGGATAAAAAGAAATCCAAAAAGAAGCATCATCACAGTGAGGAGGAGGCAGCGGAGTCGGTACAGAACGGAACGCTAGATGATGAACCACTACCAGTGAGTGGCTCTGCACTGGCAACTCCTGCCTCTTCCTCCAGGCTACAGCTAAACAAATTAAAAAAATACTTTTTTTTTTCCAGCCTATGTCCAGTTACCGACTTCTGGCAGAAAACCCTTACATTAAAATGGTGAGCTTCCTGATCACAGATGTTCAAATCATGTCCTTTTTTTGTGTTTCCTCAGAAAAGAAGGGAATATCCTTCTTTTTGGGGGATTATTTTCTACATAATACCCAGAATAATGTAGCAACTTGTGTAGAGAGCATATAGCTGCAGAACTATTGAAATCCAAGCAGCTACAGGGGGTGTTAACAGTAACAGGCTTCAGTCCCCGTTCTTAGGCTTGTCTTGCGTAACCAAGCTTTGGAGCTCATATTTCCCACTGCTCAGCAGTGCTGCAGAACTCATCACAAGTGAGCTTTTCATCATCCTTACAACTGTCAAAATACCTGCTCTTTTAAACTTGCCTTATTCTGCTGTCGGGGGCGTTTGGGGTTTCTGGAGCATCCTTGGGATTTTCCACTTTAATTTATTTTTTTTCTTCTCTCCTGCATTTGCAGACCTACGATATTCAGGGGAACCTGCAAAATGACAGTCAAGTTACTGTCTCTGTTATCCTGGAGAACAAAAGCACTAGCTTCCTGAAGAGCATGGAACTAAATGTCCTGGACTCTCTCAACACTAAAATGCTCCGACCAGAAGGAGCCTCAGTACATGATGGGATTCCTGTGCCCTTCCAGCTACCCCCTGGTACGCCAGCCTTTGTGCACCGTTCTGGGGATATGCTTAGTCCTGCAGTGCCCTCCTGTGGAAAGAGTTGTCTGAGCCTCTTATTCTTTTCCAGAAAAACATCTCCATCTATCTGTGCGTCCACACAATTGCACAGGATCCCAGAAAAGTTGAGGTTGGAAAGGGGCCTCTAGTGATCATCTAATCCAATCCCCCTGCTGCAGCAGGGACACCTAGAGCACGGGGCACCCGGTCACATCTGGGCAGGTTTGGAGGATCTCCAGAGAAGGAGCCTCCACCGCCTCCCTGGGCAGCCTGTTCCAGGGCTCTGGCACCCTCACAGGAGGGAGGTGCCTCCTCACATGGAGATGGAGCTGCCTGGGTTTCAGCTTGTACCCATTACCCCTTGTCCTGTCCCTGGCCACCACTGAGAAGAGTTTGGCCCCTTCCTCCCTCCATTGTCCCCTCAGGTACTTGGACATATTGATCAGATGCCCTCTCGGTCTTCTCTTTGTTGGAGATAAGTCTCTCGACAGTGTGGCCATAGACACAGGTGGTTCTGTCTGTCAAGAGCCGAGTCTGATGTAGAACTGAGTCCAAGGGTCAGGTTCTTTTCCTGGATAGCTGCAGTTGTAGTTGCTGAACTGCTTTCCATTTCACTTTCCTTGTAGATTAGGGTAGTGAAAACTCACAGGAATTTTCTGGGAGTTAGTGATTTTTAGAATGCTTTTTTGACCTGCCAAGGAAAGCAAGGAGTTATTTCTGGGTTTTCATTCTGTGTAAGGCAGTTCTTGACATGGGTCTGTACATTGAAAGAAAAGCCATTAGGAACACTTATTTCTGTTAACTATTTAAAGTCACATATTATGAAAATGGGCACACAGTTATGGAAATTGTGCAAGCATATTGTCACTGCTAGACATTGCCCAGGTACTCACTCCACAACCTCTACTAAAAGCCAGAGCAACAGGGAGCTGTTGCATCTCAGAAATTGGAAGAATTAAGTGCGGTAGCACTTGCAGATCACAAGAATTGTGTGGATAACTGCATTCCAGCTCCTTAGAAGATTTTGTATTTAGTTGGTTGAAAAGTGGTCAGTACATAAAGACTGACCCCAAGGAGCTGAGCTCTTCTAGTCGCTACTTAGGCATGGAAACCACCCCCTGACCTGACTTTCTCCCTCTCTTTCCTTCATGCCAGGAATCTCCAATGAAGCCCAGTTTGTGTTTACACTGCAGAGCATTGTTATGGCTCAGAAGTTAAAAGGAACACTGTCCTTTATAGTGAAAGTAAGTGGAGCTTTAAACTCTGTGCTTCTGCTTCAGCTGCATAAGGGAGCTTGCCGTGAGTGGCAGGCTCCGCTTAGAGCTTTCCCTGGGCTTCATTTCATCTCTGCTGCACCAGCCCATTCTGTGCTGCGAGAAGTGGGTTTTTTACATGGCATCTTGTGCAAGGAGTGTCCTGAGTGACTACGTAATCGTGTCCCAGATTGTCATTGCTGGCAGCAACGCAGCCCAAAGCGTTGGCCACGTTGCCAGCTAGAAAGTCCCTGCAGTGACGCAGCTGCCAGGAAGGAGGAGGGCAAAGAGCTGCAACCCGGAGCTGTAACCCAGAGATCAGTTGGATCCTGCTCCTTGGAACAGGAGCGGGAAAAAATATAATGCAGTAGTAAGAATTAAGATAAAACTAATACTGGATGGAAAATGAGTAAGAATGGGCTTAGCTGGTTGTGTTGTTTTCAAGTATCAACCTAGTTTCAAGACTGTATGATTTATTTTGATAAAACTAATAAAGGAATTACATTAGGCTTGTACTTGGGAACAGCCCCAGGGAAGCAAGTGGAGGCAGTTATAGCTCCTTCAGAGGCTAAGCTTAGCTGCTTAAGAGCTTCTTAAAAATAGCAACTCAATCCTAATCTTAGTACTTGAGTGGAGAAATACCGTTTTATTGCTTTATTTGGGAAATAGTGAACTGAATACTGCATCTTTGAGTGCGAGTGTAAATGGAATGTGCTCAGTCTGTTTCAGCAGGAGGAGATGGAAAAGGCAGCCAGATCCCTGCAGTTACGTGTCCTTGTGCTGTTCTAGGCAAATGCAGCAAACTCCTAGTCTGAATGTTGTCCGAGCGGCCAAATGGTCCCCGCCGCTTCCCAAACTGATCCCTTGGGACCTGGCAGGGTGTGTTGAAGGGACCTGGAGGCTCTTAGTAGCCTCATCCATGCCTATAGGTGGAGAGGGACCTCCGCTTGCCACCGTGGGGCTCCCATTCACCTCCTTTCCTTTGACCCGTTGCAGAACGATGAAGGTTCAACTCACGAAAAACTCGATTTCAAATTGCACTTCAGCTGCGCTTCGTACTTGATCACGACACCTTGCTACAGGTGAGTGCCCCCGGGCTGCACCGCGCGGCGCCGGCGCTTCTGCCCCCGCGGGAAGCTCAGCTTGGGCTGCAGGCCGACCCTGCCCCGTACGCCACATGCTTCTGCTTTGGCTGCTTGCGACCGCTCTTGTTTGAGTTCACTTCTCTCCCGCGACGCCCGGCTTCTCAGACGTGTCCGCCAATTTGTTCCAAGTGATCCTGAAGAAGGGCCTTGGTCCCGGCGGCCGCCCCTGTGCAGTGGTGGTGTTGGAGATCAAAACGCTTCTCCAGCACAGTCTGGAGTGTGGTCCCCGTGTTCGGGCCCCACGTTTGCTCTAATTCCCACCCTCTTCCTAATAGAACTTAATAGTCCTTGGATTTCTGCACCCTGAGATATGTTAAGGTCTGCATGGGGTTAACTGGGTGGATTTCACTTGAATCTGTACAAGTCAACAAGTGTTGACTTTCCTTCCTGTTTTGCAGTGATGCTTTTGCCAAGCTCCTAGAGTCTGGGGACCTGCACATGAGTTCTATTAAAGTAGATGGAATTAGCATTTCTTTCCAGCATCTACTGGCAAAGATCTGTTTTCATCATCATTTTTCAGGTGAGTTGTCTTCAGGGCAGAACCTTCTGCAAAGTCCCTTGTTCTGAAACGTCTGCTCTGCTGGGAGGCTGTAAAACACGCTGTGGTCTGGATGTCAGAACCAGGGGTCCAGACTAAGTCTTGGAGAGGAGGTTTTGTTGATCTGGTGATGTACAGGTGTCCTCAGAGCTTGTGGATGTTGTTGTCATCTGTGTCCCTTTTCCCTTCCCAAAATGAGCCCTCCTTTGGATCCTTCACCTGGGAGGTATCCTGACCCAGATCCTTCACTCTGGTTGGTGTTTGTGCTGCGGGACCTTTGCATTTTACTTAAAGGACATCTGACTAATGTCAGAATTGCAGAATATCCCAGCTAGGAGCTGGGAAGAGCACGTACACCATCTTAACCCAGTCTCTCTCCTCCCTTCGAGCTCCTTCTTCCTTGAGGCCAGACAGAGCAATAGTTCCTCCTTATGGGAAGCAAATGGTATTTAATAAGAGGCCCAGTGAATTAAAACCCCTCTTTTCTTTATAGTTGTGGAACGCGTTGATTCTTGTGCATCCATGTACAGTCGCTCTATCCAAGGTCATCACGTCTGCCTACTGGTAAAAAAGGTGAGAGCCTTATCTGAAAGGAGGTGCTGAGAGGGAAACACGGAGCCTTTGCTTCCGTGGCCGTGTCCGTCCTCCCTTGAAAGCTCCTGGGGGCGTCGCGGGCGCTGCGGCCCGTCCTGCTCTGCTGGGGATGCGCCCGGCAAGGAGCTAACACCTCTCTCCTGTCGTCCCAAGGGAGAAAACTCGGTGTCCGTGGATGGCAAGTGCAGCGATGCCACCCTGCTCGGCAACTTGCTGGCTGAGATGAAGGAGACGTTGTCCAGTTGCTGAGCGCTCCCTGCGGGATACTCCAGCTCCAGGAAACACACCTCCCGTGTAGAGACGAGCAGCCCCGAGTGTTACGTTTCTCCCCTGTACGCATGTACTATCCCGGGGCACGTGCTTTTCAGTTAACTCCACCACTCTTTGCCCTTTAGACATTTTAAGGCTGTAGGTTACCTTTTTGTCCCGAAACTTTTTACAAACCGTGGTGTTTCTAGCCCAAAGAGCTCCTGGGGATGTGGCTGGCGGAGGGAGAGGGGGAGAGGTTGGTGGTTCTTCAGCAGCTCCTGGTGATCCCTTGGACTTTCCATCTCTGTGGAGTTGTGGACCAAGCAGGAGTTTCTCAACGGGAGCACTAAGCTTGTACTAAGAAGTACTAAGCTTGTGCTTAGTACTGGAGAAGGTTGGCTTGATCCCTGGCCATCGAATCTACCTTCAGGGCTGCTGTAGTTGATGTACATTTCTAGCAGAGGCTGGTGCTGGACCTGAAGGCCTCTCTCTTTCTTTTTTTTTAATTATTATTATTATTATTATTATTGTTATTATTGTTGTTATCTCAAGCGCAGAAAGGTCCATTGCGATCAGCATACAAAGACCCTCCATCTCCTCGGGCTAATCTAAATGAGCCCGGTGAGAGCTGGGCTGTTTCTGAGTTCCTGTTTGTAGTAGTTGCCTTGAGCCTTAACCTTCTTCCAGTGACAACGGCGAGGCCAGAGGGTGAGCGTGCGAAGCCCAGGCTGAGCCCTGCTCTTTGGTTTCCTGCTCCTCTTCTCGTCCCCCCGTGAAGTCCATCGCATCTCCCCGCTTCGAGCAGTCCCTGCCCGTGTGTTTTATGAGTCCACTTCAATTTCACATTCCTGAAAAGCTGAGAATGTAGCAAGAAACTGGAACTCCCAGGGGGGCTGCCCCTGCTTTTCTTGTTCTGTCCTGGGTCGCTTTGCTCCCCAGCTGGGGTCGATGCCCCGAGCGGCCTGGCCGTGCCCGGCGCGCGTTGCACGTACCCCCCGAATGAGGAGACGGGGCCTGCAACGCGTTCCGCGCTGTTGGAATCACGTGGAATCTCCGCCTGCAAGGGGATATCATTCTGTCCTTCACAGATAAGATGCTTTTCCAGAAGCGTTTGCTTCGAAGCTTTGTTTTTTTTTCCAGTTTTGACTCGCACACCCCGCACGCCGGGAACACGGTTGAACCGTTTTGCTGTGGGGCACCGGGCGAAGCTGCTGGTGGCCCCATGGAGGAGGTGGGTCTGTCTGCACCCCAGGCACCCCATAGACTTAGCAACAGCCCTGTCAGGAGCGGGACCAAGGCGGATCCCGCCCTTTGGGGCCACGTCGGGCACCTCTTCAGTGCTCTGTTTGCTCTGCCCACGTCAGGGTGTCGTTTCGCGGAGGCTCTGCTGTGCTTCCAGCGCTAGGCCCAGCTTTGTGTCGCGCCGGCCCCCGTGTGCTGCCGGAGCAAGTCGGCGGCCGGGCTTTGGTGCTGGCCTCGCTCAGTCAGCTCCCGTCGTAGAAACCGAGCGTCTTAAACTGTCTTAAAGGATGATGTGTCCTCAATTAGTGGTTACTTTTTTTTTTTTTTTTTTTAAATTCATGAATGAAAACCGTCACTTTAGCATGTAGAGTCTTCTCTTACAGAATCCTGTGCAGTGATTCTAGAATTCTGAAGCTGTATGGTGTGTTCCGTTCACCGAATGATTTGCTATCGACATTCCCTGGGGAAAAGAGAATAAGAGAGAAAAAAAAAAAAAAAAAAAAAAAAAAACCAAACCATCCCACAAGCTGCTGTAATGATTTTGTGTCCAGATGATCCAATAAACTTTGAAAACAAAGGTAACCTTTTTGTCAGGCGCAACTCGTCTGCCCCTTGGCCCGCGTCGCTACCTCGCTGCGTCAGCACCCCCTTCCCCAGCAGCGCCTCTCATTTCCTTAATTAAGGCTCCCGAGAATAAGCAGCCTCCACTAATTACAAAGAAGGGCAAATTGCAGCCGGGCCGTCCCTGATAAGCGGTGGCAAAGCTGAGGTTTAAATGTGCTCTGAGGTTCAGGTTGGCCGAGTGAGGCTGGAGCAATGTGAGGAGGAGAAGGAATGCCCTTTTCCGGGAATGGGGATGCCGCTCGCTCCTGTGGCCGGTGGTTTTGGCCGCTTAAAGAAAAGGGAGATGGTTCAAGCCACTGGTGAGGGTAAAAGGGAGCAGAGCCACCTTCCTCCATGAGTGGCTTCCATGAACTCTCCGAGCAGCGGCTGGTGCAAGGGGCAGTCCATGGATTTCCCCTTGGACGTGGCGGAGCAGGAACGCAGGGCCGCGGTGGGGTCTCTAACGCGTCGTGGACGCAGCGTTGGCCCCAACGCCTGGAGTGCCGGAGGGAGGGCCCGGGCCGGGAATTGCGAGGCAGTAACAGCGGGTTCCTCCCTTCAAGAAAGGGAGGCCGCTGGCCACCTCCAAAGAGACCCGATGGGATGGAGCGTGGATAGGATGGAACACGGATGGGATGGGACATGGATGGGACAGGACGGAGTGTGGACGGGATGGGACGTAGATGGGACGGAGCACAGATGGGATGGAGCGTGGATGGGGCGGAGCATGGACAGGGCGGAGCGCGGATGGGATGGGACAGGACAGGACGTGGATGGGGCGGGCTGCGGATGGGACAGGACAGAGCGCGGCCGTGTGGCCCCAGCCGCCTCCCGACATTCCCAAGGCAGCAAGTTCCGCCTCCCCAGCCCTATCCCGGCCCCGCAGTGTCCGGAGCCGCATCCCCATCCTGTCCCCATCCTGTCCCCATGGGAACGTGCCCTGGCCCCATGGCTCCGTCCGTGTAGCCCATCTCCAAGCCTGGCCCCATGTTCCCAAGGCTCGTGCCCATGTCCCCATGTCCCCAAGGCCTGTCCCCGTGTCCATCCCCGTGTCCCCTGTCCCCATGTGTCCCCCTGTGCCGCAGTCTGTCCCCACGTGTCCCCATGTCCCATCCCCGTGTCCCCACACCCGTCCATGTGTCCCCATGTCC